GCAGTGTACATGAAAAATATTTACGCAAAAGTGATCAAGTAAGGTGACAATAATAATGCAAGTTTATAGGAAAGGAAGATTAAGAATTTTATTTATAAAGGATCCTGTTAGTTTAGTGCGCGAATGAATGTGTCTGCCCCAGCAGGACACCCCACGAACAGCTGAATCGAATCGTAGGTGTCAGCTTCTGACAGACTGAGGTTTTCTTCGTTAATTTACCATATTAACGTGATATCAGACGCATTTTTACGACCATTGCGCCGTGATTATATGGTTAATTAAGAAATATTAGAAATGTCGGTGGACGAAACGTTCGAATGAAGTATCTAAACATTTTTTGGGTGGACTTCTCTTTTGGAATGTTTGCGGTAATTATACTAAAGTGAGCATCTCATTCGTAGTTCAGATGTCTTCCGATAGATAGATTTATTTTCGAACAATTCAGCACATCCATTGTTTGCAAATCAGACCTTGCTTGTTACCTGCTATTGTTTTGCGGTTTTCTCTTCCTCGCACTGTAAACTACACTCGTTAAAAACTATTGACTTTAACCGTTCTGTTATTATTTATATTCCATTATTTCGGGCACAGCAACTAGAAATATGGTTGTACGTACACCTTAGCGAATCCGAAGAAGTTTGAATTTACATTTACAAATCAATCAACGCCAGTATTTCCAAAAACCATTTACTCGAGTATACAAATCGCAATAAATATCTGTGAAGACGAGAGTATAGGTAGTACCGTCGTGGAAAAAGGCCAAAATGTTCTTTAATTAGTATAATCTCAAATTTTTTAATTGTTACTATCATAGAACCTACGACTTCCAGTTAGGGTTTTTCAAAGTTATCTGACTGTACTTCGAAGGTTCGGAGTAAACAATAAGTTAGTCAACTTGATATAAGGTCACAACCGTTGAATGAATTTTTCATTCAACGCCACAACAGTGCAAGACGAGTCCGCGATTTACTCGCAGTCCAGTATACTGATGAACCAATACCTTCCATTTCAACGTACATAACCTAAAAATAATTAAAAGCTGGTTCAGTTGTGACACAAATTTTCAATACGTGTGTATAGTTGCACATATCCTATAGGTTGATGGGTTTTGGGTTTTAATGGAACATAGAGAAACACCATTATTGCATGCATAATCATAATATCTTCCAATGTAAGATAAACGCACTGTATACAATAACCAGTCAATAACCTCGTGATTCTGGCAGCGACGAAATTGGTTAAATTCGGACACATGAAGCATTTTTTGTCACGACTGAATGGCCGAACCAAAAAAATCATCATCAAGATATTCAATATTCATGGGACCCCTTGTATATCAGTAGTGAAAGGTTCACCTGAGTCAGACAGTCACATGACGCGCCAGACTTGCGCGAGAGTCATATTTGCAGATACGTGTATGAGGTATCGCTATTTTGGCCATGTACTTCGGCAGTTGGCCCGGGGTGCTGCGTTTAAGTTCGTGTTCACGTTTGGGTTCGCGTTCAGGTTATGTTCGCGTACACGGCATGTAAAAATGAAAAGACCAACTTTAAAAACAAGTGCTATCGTCATTCACCCAGATGCTTAAACATAGCGATTTACCTGCATCCCATGATGGGTAATGTAATACTTTCTAGTCTAAACGCCAATGCAACCCAAACGTGAACATTAACCCAAACGACACACGCCAACCCAAACGTGAACGAGAACCCAAACTCGAACGCGAACCCACCGTGAACGCCAACCCAAACGTGAACGCGAACCTAATCGTTGCACTTCGGGCCAACTGCCGAAGTTTACAGGTCAAAATATAGATACCGAATTAACCTCACTTTCGCGCAAGTGTCATGTGACAGTTCCACAATTACCTATAAAATGAAGTGATGACTGCCCCAAAAAAAACCGAAACATCAACTAAAAATATCATACTGCCAGCTGGTAGAGGAGAAAAAATTGTAATGAGAAAGTATTCGGAAATCCTCCAATTTTTAAGCAAAGTTATATTCGACTGAAAAATGTCCACATTTGCCTCCATTTAACCGACTTCGTATCCATTACGGTTTGCGAGATGTCACTGGTCACCCTTGAATTTCGGACGCCGCGCCATGTACAGACACTAAAATCCTAGCAATTATCGAGTATGAACTTCCGTGAAAAAAACAGTTTGATGAACTAATTAAATGAGCGAGGAAAATTAAAATTTGACAATCGCTATGCGACTACACTGAACAAAACCGAGTTGAAGAAAGATCACTACAATGTTTGTACCCGCACCCGCATCCATGTTATAAAGGCATCCCATGTCGTTCAAATATTTAGATCAGGGCTACATTTGTATAAACGAAAAAGAATTACAACTTAATCATAGGGATAAAACTAAACCTAAATTAGTAACGTTTAGTGGACAGCCGCCTTTTGTAGATCAAGTTAATGTGCACCCATTTGTTGACCTAAGTACGAAGAAGACAAATAATACCCTTTCCGCCGATTTATTCTTTCGGTTTTGCCTTTTTATTGGTATAAAACAACACAAAACAATTTTTTACTCTTTCCAAGAATTTACAAGAAGCACCACCTTTAGCTGAATATTTTCCTTTAAGGAGTCGCCATTTCCTATAATCGAGTATTTAATAAATCAATTAATTAATTAGCTTATTTAATTGCTTTATTTTTACAATCACTTTTAAAAATTGTGAGGGGAACTCCAATGCCGGCAACACTGAGAATGTAAAAGAGTTCGATGATCGTCCTGCTCGATTCTTCTGTAACAGCATTTTATAAACAAGCGTTAACGAAAACCACCTCTACTTTTTCTCAACCTACACTGTTTTCGCCGTATTTTAAAAACACATTGTCCAAATAAATTAACTTTTACTCTAAAGATAAAGAAATTGAACATAAACAACGCATCTGCAAAATTGTATCACTTAAATGTCTTATCAATATAAAATAAAACCAATAATTTTGTCACTGTTCTAGGGAAAACTGCGGTCTACCAGTATTATCACGACGTACAGTTAATGAATTCTGTTGCACATAAGTCCGTAAGTCATAAGTGGTAATTTTAGGTTTATTACCCTTCTTCTGTATATCAACCGTACACGTCGTTCTCTAGCGAACCAATCTAAAAAATTGTGCACAACTCTTGTGCAGATAAAGCGCATTTTTTAAACGGAAATCGCTTTTGTTTTGACATCACCAATAGATATATTTCTTGCAGACGTCTCAATCGCCCTTTGTGAGTACCTCCTTCCGACAATCCGTTCTTGAGGTATAATGGAATATACCCAATCACGATAAGAGGTCGAGGAGGAGGACTATGGTTGGTAGAAATTAATTCCTTTCATTGAGACCTTTCATTAGAGTACCATGAACTAGAATTTAAGGCGCCAAAATAAATTATCTTCCAACTTTGTAAATGTTGTAAATAGCGGCTGTTTTATGAGAAAGAGCCCACTATACCATATTAAGCTTTCCTTCGTTTTTCGGAATTTCAACTTTGAAGAATTGATACTTTATACAAAAGCACACTGAGTCTTGAAAAACTAAAAAAGGCGCACAAATCAGTACAAAATAAGCACAAAACTATGGAGTTGGTGTCATGTTGAGACGAGCATGATGGTGTGTATAGATTAAGGTGGACCCCAAACTGAACATTTTGATTGTCTCTGAAACGGAAGGCGCACAACACTCGGACATTGGCCCACAAATCAGCACAAAATAGGCACAAAACTATGACATAGGTTATAATAATAATAATAATAATAATTTTATTAACGCTACAAGGCATTTTGCATACAAATTAAAATTATAGTGATACACAATAAAATACACAACATAAATCAATAAAACGAAGGACAAGATCGACGTGTAGGAGAGATAGCGAAAAACTTGTTTATTGGATCAACAGTGAATTCCCAGTACGTTTGAAGGCGGCTAGTGGCAGTCCGAAGAAATCGATTTTCAGATGTAAGCTGTTGATCAGGTCAACCATGCGGTTTAAAGGGCTGTTTTGGAAGTATAGCGTTCGGCATTGTCGTGCATGTAGAAGTCGAGCCGAACGAACAAATCGGTACGTTTAAATTAATAGTGGATAAAATATCCGGACAGTTTAGGTGACCATTTAGTAGTTTGAAACCAAAACATGCGGTAAGTAAATTTCTCCTCTGTTTAAGAGTCAGTATTCCCAAGTAAAGTCGGACATTTTCAGTGCGATCCAAAATGATTCCATGAAGAAGGAATTTGTACTTTATAAGGCGAAGAAAATTGTTCTGTATCTTTTCCAACCGATTGACGTGAGTTAAGTAGTATGGTGACCAGATCGTGCAGCAATAGTCCAGATGCGACCTAACCAGGGAGAAGTATAAAGTCCTCAGTGCGGTTATGTTGAAGAAATCCTTACATTGGCGACGAATGAGCCCAACCATTTTGCTAGCCTTCGAAATAACATGATCGTAGTGATGCTGGAAATTCAATTTTGTGTCAAGTACTACCCCCAGGTCCTTGATGATGCCCATATGTTGAAGTTCTTGACCACAAAGATGGTAGAGCGGAACAGAAGGCGATGATTTCTTCGAAAAACAAATTGAACAACATTTGGTTAAGTTCAGTTGCAAATCATTATCTAATACCCATATTTCAAGTTGTACCAAATCTTGTTGAAGGATCAGCACATCCAGGGTGTTCTCGATAGGTCTGTAGTCGAGCTTAAGATCGTCAGCAAAAAGGGCATGATTTGAGGAGAATATCGAAGATATGTCGTTGACGTATGCCAGGAACAAAGGCGGGCCGAAATGTGTCCCTTGCGGAACTCCAGATTTGATGTCAATGAGATCCGACAAAGTGTCATCGATTTGGACTCGTGCATTACGACCAGCTAAGTAGCTTTCCAACCATTTCACTGCTTGGTTACCTAGACCGTACTTTTTTAGCTTGAATATCAGCAATTTGTGATTAACCCGGTCAAATGCTTTGGAAAAATCTGTGTAGATCGAGTGCACTTCAATACCTTGATCAAGAGAACCAAAAATCCGGTTCAAGTATAGAAACAGGTTTGTTTCCACGGATCTTCCTTTTGTAAAACCATGTTGATTAACCGATAACACTTGCGAGAAGGCCTGGGTGAACTGCCGGACAACTATGGATTCGAAAAGTTTCGGTATAGCCGACTGGATGGATATTGGTCTGTAGTTATTGTAATCGGGCTTGATTCCATTCTTGAAAATCGGTGTAATTTTCAAATTCTTCCAGGCACTCGGAAAAACACTTTTCTCCAACGAAGATGAAAATAAAAGGAACAATGGTCGGAATATTGATTGAGCACAGTTCTTGAGAAATTTTGGTGGAATTTCATCCGGTCCTGTGCTTCCAAATTCATCAATAGCTGATAGACCGCCAAAAACCTCCTCAGCCGTTATTTTGAACTGAGCGAGCGCGATTTCACTGGTCGTGGAGAACGAATTTTCGTGAATGCGGCCCTCCACAAAAGCTGTAGAAAAGTGTTTGGCAAAATGATTGGCAATTTCACGACGGTCAGATGTGGACTCATCATCTTTTATCATCAAAGGAGGGATAATAGAAGTTTTGTTCATATTATGATAAAATTTCCAGAACGACTTCGGATTTAAAGTAACATTTTCTTCACAGGTTTTAATAAAGGTGTCATAGCACTGTGTGGTCAAGGATTTACACTGAGTTCGCAACTCGGTAAAAACTTGATAATCGATGTTGCTCTTAGATGCTTTATATGTTTTGTGGGCAAGCTTCTTATCCCTAATCAGCTTATGTAGTTTACTACTAAACCATGGCGGGTACGTTGATTTAAAACATTTAATTTTTGGAACACATACATTTAAAATGTCGTAGATGACTGTGTAAAAGTTTTCAACATTTGATTCCAAATCTCCATTGAAAAATAGTGAATGCCAGTCCACGGAACGAATGTAGTCATTGATTTGATCATAAGGAGCCTTCGAGAAATTGAATTTGTAGACTGGTTGTTGATTCGAGTCATCACACTTGAAGAAACCTTGGTGGGTGTGAAGCGCTACACTAAGTGCTGGGTGGTAGGAATCACAGTTAACTAAATTAATATCACAGTTAGAAACGGAAGTATCACAGTTAGAAAAGACTAGATCAAGGATATTGTCATTCACCCGGTTGTTGATTGAGTTGAATTGATGGAAGCCGAACAGGTTGAATGCGTCACATATAAGCTCTGAAATGCGGTTGCGATTACAAAAAGTAGTAAGGTGTCCATCTTCCTCGTCGCTATCCCAAGTGGTGTTAGTCAGGTTATAATCTCCTAACAGTATAACTCTGGCTTCCGGGAATTTATCAAGAGCTGATTCCACAGACGTTATGTGGGATTCATAGACAGCAACATCAGAGTTGGGCGGGATATAGGTACAGCAAACAAGAATGGTCCCCTGAGGACTTAAATCGATTATTGCCCAAATTTCAGGTTTCAAGTGGCTCCGAGTGTAAGGGGTGTTACGTTAAGTTGGCGCCCCTTTTATACATTTTGAATTACTCCGACAAAAAAGGCGCACAAAATGTGAATATTAGCACACAAATCAGCACAAACTATGGTATGAGTGTCAAGTGGATACGACAATGATGGTGTTCCAGTATTAAGTTGAATACCCAACAGTAGTAGAGAGGCCCCTGCGCCGCCATCTTGGATTTTGTGACGTCAGCTGACCTTGGGTTTTTCCCAAGGTCATGGGTTTTTCCCAAGGTCGTGGGTTTTTCCCAAGGTCATGGGTTTTTCCCAAGGTCGTGGGTTTTTCCCTGACCTTGGGTTTTTCCCAAGGTCGTGGCTTTGGGTTTTTCCCAAGGTCGTGGCTTTGGGTTTTTCCCAAGGTCATGGCTTTGGGTTTTCCCAAGGTCGTGGTTTTGGGTTTTTCCCAATGTCGTGGCTTTGGGTTTTTCCCAAGGTCGTGGTCTTGGGGTTTTTCCCAAGATCGTGACTTTGGTACAGGATCATGGTCTTGGATCCTGGGGCAGGGTTGTGATTATGGATTCTGGATCAAGGTCGTGGTCTTGGATGCTGAGTTGAGATTGTGTGATTTGGATTCTGGGATTTGAGTTGGACTAAAATTGTGCTCTGGGATTTTCCTAGCGAATTTAAAAGAGAGAGGTGTAGAGAAAAATAAGAGATGTTGTATTACAAACCTAATCTAAGTACATACTCTTAGAAAATGGTAATCCATACATTTCAAATTTTACAAAGAAGAAGAAGAGGAAAAAGCAAAGCGAGAAGCAAGCAAAACAAGAAAATATTTGTGTACTTACTTTTTCTTAGTTTTTGTTTGAAAATCCTTGTTTTTTCCAAGTTTATCACACACACACACACCCTAACATATAAGAAAGAGAGATGCACAGATTAGCACTGTATAATTACGTAAACTGCAGTAGATTATGCGAGGCTAATAAAACTTGTAACAATACGTTAGGTGATGTTAATGAGTCGTTAGTCAAATACTAACTGAAATTAGAGCGTACATTTCTTATTTGGGTATTTCCCTCAAGTCATGGCCTTGGACTATGAACTTGTCGTAGCATTGGGTTTTTCCCAAGGTCATGGTCTTGGACTTTGACCTCCCCAAGGTCATGGTCTTGGACTTTGACCTCGAGTTTTTACAAGGTCGTGGTCTTGGACTTTGACCTCGAGTTTTTCCAGGGTCGTGGTCACGTAGTCGACCGCTATATGCTTTAAACCAACTTACTTATCAAATGCATTTAAGATATCCACACTCAACGGGGGTTGCACGAGGTCACTACTAAGAAGCTGTATCAATCTAGTTGGTAATAATCGATGTTAATTTCTCAACTACTGTCGCTTACTAAGCGAGATAAGAAAGGAATTGAAAAAATGCAATTAAGAAGGTGTAGTTGGAAAAACAAATTAAGCTGTGCTAGTGAAAGTCTTTGTGTAATGACGGTAATACGGTGGAACTCGACGACAAATTATTCAAAACGCTGCTAATTGTAAACGATCAGAAGGCCAAAATAAATTCTCATTACCCACAATGTGTATTTTAAATATTTTTGCACGTTCACTATTGAAACTAGGAAAATTACTAGATTTTAGTTAACAGGCCGAAATTCGTTTTATTTTTTCACGTAAATAGTCTATTGAGTTACAGAACTTTTAACGAAAAACTACACTTTTGTACTCGGACTCTTATTAACCGTACCTACTGGTTGCCTTTAAATACATAAACAATGATTTTTTACGAATAGAAATAAAAGTCAAAATTGCTCATAACCGAAAACTCTTGCTAACGGACTTCAACTAAATTACACATACAAAATTTAAAAGCTTTCAAGCTCAAAGGAAATTTAGTTTTTAAAACGTGTACCTACTGTCTTTATTGTGCATTTATATGTTTTCAGTTCATTTGATAGCATATACAATCACAAACATTTTAAAGACAAAATACGAAAGCAAAACAAAATGATTCAGGGTTTGCTCTGCCTTTAATAAAAATCTTCGAGTTTAATTTTATAGATTCATAAAAAAAGATTAGGAAGATATTCGAAATAATACGTTTCAGAACTTGTAACGTATAAGTGCCATCGAAATCATTGCGTATGTTGAGAGTTTATTAACTCATAAAGATCATCATCATCATGTAAGTGATGTCCAAGCTCATATAGATTCCAATTAAAAAAATTACATTATCAACAATTTTATTTAGAGGAAATAACATTAAGATAATACATATACCTCTTTTTTGCGATATTGTACTTTCAATAACATAATTAATAAAAAACAATTACAAAGGAATAGTCAATATTTAACATTCTGCTTACAAGTTGAAAGTAAAAAAAAGTGATTGTTGTGATTCAAGTTTGTTACGGTAATTATACACCTAATTGCTTACTGTTATTTAATTTGTAGGTAGTAGGGTAGTGTCAATATAAAGAAAAGAGCATACTTGTCTGTTTATGTAATTTGGTTTTTATCATTATATACGGTTATAATGGAAGACCTAGTACGCCTATTGAATTTATCTGTAAGTGTAAAAAATCTGGAAAAATTAAACGAAAAATACAATTTAAATATTGAAGAGTTGTCAATGTGTTATAGTGCCATAAATCAATTGAGTGCGTCCTTTTTTGAAAACTTTGTCTTCAAATGTCAATCTTTTTGGTGTAGCATAGATACAATGCTAGAACGTGCCGTCGTTCCCGTACCAAATGACACGTTGTACAATTTGTGTGCTAAAAAAATGCTGCGGAGACCTTCTGAATGGATTAATTTACCAATCGATATCCAAACGGAATTGTCGTGGAAAAAGAAGAAGCTAAATGATCTCGGTAGAGACCTACTACATCTTGAAAAAGAAACGGACGCAGAGTTAGTTAAACGAGTGAGAGACATAAATAGTTATTTAATTTCCAGTCAAGAACTTGTAGATACTCTAATAGGTAGTTTAAATAAAATTAAGGATGATATAGATATTGAGTTGTTTAATAATAGTTATTTTGTAGATGTTAGTTTTAATTACTTAAACTTATACGAAAGGATTTGTATAAATATTGTTAGTATGTCTGATTGTTATAGACAGTATTATAGTAGATATAGGGACTTAATTTACAATTGGTCATGTATATATAATAAACAGATTTAACGAGGGGTATAAACAATCTTTTATTGTTCAAGTTTAATTTTATGTCGATAAAAAAAGGTTAATTAAAATCTCTGTCTTTACTTTGAATTTTCTGATTGTCTCGATTTACAAAACATCCAAAAACTCGTAACAAAAATTTGCAAGTTCTGAGGAAATGGTACAGGATCATTACCCACTACTTGGCTATAAGAAAAAACTAAGAAAATTGAACAAGTTAATTAAATAAAATTAAATTCGATTTTTTTTTTACAATCTCTATCTTGAAACATATACCACACACGTGCTATCTTCCATAAATACATATAAAAGTTCAATATCAGAAAACAGCAATCGCTTTTAAAATTGAATAATAATTTGAACTTAGCGAAAATTAACATTTTGTACCTCATCTCCTCATTTTTTTATATAATTCAAACTACTCTACTTTTCTGAAAAAAGACCATCACATAACTTCAAATCAAAACTTTTGTGTTTTAATTTTATTTCATCAACAATTTTGAATATTCGAAAAAGTTGAAAAAAATTACAACTACACAACGATTTTCGCGCGTATCGTACAAAACTTTGGTAAGTAGATAAACTTGATACCCAGTTTTTCACAAACATTCAAGACTACTACGTTTCGGTTTACAATCAGAATATCGCTCCGGGCATATAGCCCCGAGCAAAATATCCGATTAATATGCTTGTAGGACGTGGCTGAAGTGTATCTTGAAGAGAAGCCTATTACGTACTCGTTTTATTACAATACTCGTTCGCAATACCGTGAATTTTTGTGATTGTCTCGATTTACAAAACTCGTAACAAAAATTTGCAAGTTCTGTGGAAATGGTACAGGATCATTACCCACTACTTGGCTACAAGAAAAAACTAAGACGATTGAACAAATTAATTAAATAAAATTAAACTGGATTTTTTTTTGCAAGTTCTATCTTGAAACATATACCACGCACGTGCTATCTTCCATAAATACATATAAAAGTTTCATATCAGAAAACAGCAATCGCTTTTAAAATTTAATAAAAATTTGAACTTAGCGAAAATTAACATTTTGTTCCTCATCTCCTCATTTTTATATAATTCAAACTACTTGACTTTTATGAAAACAGACCATCACATAACTTCTAATCAAAATTTTTGTGTTTTAATTTTATTCCATCAACAATTTCTTTGAATATTCGAAAAAGTTGAAAAAATTTCAACTACAAAACGAATTTCGGTCAAAAAAGGACGCACTCAATTGATTTATGGCACTATAACAGATTGACAACTCTTCAATATTTAAATTGTATTTTTCGTTTAATTTTTCCAAATTTTTTACACTTACAGATAAATTCAATAGGCGTACTAGGTCTTCCATTATAACCGTATATAATGATAAAAACCAAATTACATAAACAGACAAGTATGCTCTTTTCTTTTATATTGACACTACCCTACTACCTACAAATTAAATAACAGTAAGCAATTAGGTGTATAATTACCGTAACAAACTTGAATCACAACAATCACTTTTTTTTACTTTCAACTTGTAAGCAGAATGTTAAATATTGACTATTCCTTTGTAATTGTTTTTTATTAATTATGTTATTGAAAGTACAATATCGCAAAAAAGAGGTATATGTATTATCTTAATGTTATTTCCTCTAAATAAAATTGTTGATAATGTAATTTTTTTAATTGGAATCTATATGAGCTTGGATATCACTTACATGATGATGATGATCTTTATGAGTTAATAAACTCTCAACATACGCAATGATTTCGATGGCACTTATACGTTACAAGTTCTGAAACGTATTATTTCGAATATCTTCCTAATCTTTTTTATGAATCTATAAAATTAAACTCGAAGATTTTTATTAAAGGCAGAGCAAACCCTGAATCATTTTGTTTTGCTTTCGTATTTTGTCTTTAAAATGTTTGTGATTGTATATGCTATCAAATGAACTGAAAACATATAAATGCACAATAAAGACAGTAGGTACACGTTTTTAAAAACTAAATTTCCTTTGAGCTTGAAAGCTTTTAAATTTTGTATGTGTAATTTAGTTGAAGTCCGTTAGCAAGAGTTTTCGGTTATGAGCAATTTTGACTTTTATTTCTATTCGTAAAAAATCATTGTTTATGTATTTAAAGGCAACCAGTAGGTACGGTTAATAAGAGTCCGAGTACAAAAGTGTAGTTTTCGTTAAAAGTTCTGTAACTCAATAGACTATTTACGTGGAAAAATAAAACGAATTTCGGCCTGTTAACTAAAATCTAGTAATTTTCCTAGTTTCAATAGTGAACGTGCAAAAATATTTAAAATACACATTGTGGGTAATGAGAATTTATTTTGGCCTTCTGATCGTTTACAATTAGCAGCGTTTTGAATAATTTGTCGTCGAGTTCCACCGTATTACCGTCATTACACAAAGACTTTCACTAGCACAGCTTAATTTGTTTTTCCAACTACACCTTCTTAATTGCATTTTTTCAATTCCTTTCTTATCTCGCTTAGTAAGCGACAGTAGTTGAGAAATTAACATCGATTATTACCAACTAGATTGATACAGCTTCTTAGTAGTGACCTCGTGCAACCCCCGTTGAGTGTGGATATCTTAAATACATTTGATAAGTAAGTTGGTTTAAAGCATATAGCGGTCGACTACGTGACCACGACCCTGGAAAAACTCGAGGTCAAAGTCCAAGACCACGACCTTGGAAAAACTCGAGGTCAAAGTCCAAGACCATGACCTTGGGGAGGTCAAAGTCCAAGACCATGACCTTGGGAAAAACCCAATGCTACGACAAGTTCATAGTCCAAGGCCATGACTTGAGGGAAATACCCAAATAAGAAATGTACGCTCTAATTTCAGTTAGTATTTGACTAACGACTCATTAACATCACCTAACGTATTGTTACAAGTTTTATTAGCCTCGCATAATCTACTGCAGTTTACGTAATTATACAGTGCTAATCTGTGCATCTCTCTTTCTTATATGTTAGGGTGTGTGTGTGTGTGTGTGGATAAACTTGGAAAAAAACAAGGATTTTCAAACAAAAACTAAGAAAAAGTAAGTACACAAATATTTTCTTGTTTTGCTTGCTTCTCGCTTTGCTTTTTCCTCTTCTTCTTCTTTTTAAAATTTGAAATGTATGGATTACCATTTTCTAAGAGTATGTACTTAGATTAGGTTTGTAATACAACATCTCTTATTTTTCTCTACACTTCTCTCTTTTAAATTCGCTAGGAAAATCCCAGAGCACAATTTTAGTCCAACTCAAATCCCAGAATCCAAATCACACAATCTCAACTCAGCATCCAAGACCACGACCTTGATCCAGAATCCATAATCACAACCCTGCCCCAGGATCCAAGACCATGATCCTGTACCAAAGTCACGATCTTGGGAAAAACCCCAAGACCACGACCTTGGGAAAAACCCAAAGCCACGACATTGGGAAAAACCCAAAACCACGACCTTGGGAAAACCCAAAGCCATGACCTTGGGAAAAACCCAAAGCCACGACCTTGGGAAAACCCAAAGCCACGACCTTGGGAAAAACCCAAGGTCAGGGAAAAACCCACGACCTTGGGAAAAACCCATGACCTTGGGAAAAACCCACGACCTTGGGAAAAACCCATGACCTTGGGAAAAACCCAAGGTCAGCTGACGTCACAAAATCCAAGATGGCGGCGCAAGGGCCTCTCTACTACTTACAGCAAATTGATTGCTCTTTTCAATTGTAAAAACATAGGCATTGCATTTGAAAAACAATAGCTGCATCGATTTCCGGTTAAACCGGAAGTGATGCCGGATGTCTGAATTTGCGATCGGATAGATCATAATGTCACATAAAATTTTGAAAAATTTTTCATATCTCGTCAAATAAAAGAGATATTGAGGTGACCCTCTTATCTCGAACGCACTGTATACCTATTGACAATGACATTGCCTAACAGTTCTATTACAGTGTGCACATTTTAAATCCTTTGAGGTTTTGTGAGTTAAGAGATGCCGTTTCAGGACATGGCGGTGATGTGTTTCAAAATCACACTGTGCACATTTAACATATTTGGAAGTATTGCGAGTACATATGGCTAAGTACTAATTTAGAGCCTGCAATGGTATCCAACTTGTATAAAGACTGCAAGGGGATGAATTCAAAGATTTGAAAGTGGGGCCTCTTTTCAATTCCAATTAAACGAGCATTTTTTGGAATATTTTCTTGTAACTGCATTACTATAAGTGGAATTCACATTTAGATCGCAGCGTTATAGAGATATCTCAATATGCGAGAATAACTACAATGTTGCCAAAGTCAAAGTCGCAGACGTTTGTGTTACATCGAGGGCCGCATGTGTGGTAAAATTCAAAAACGGCGAAGTGCTAAATTGCAAATGCAAGCAGTTAGTGTCTACTTATCCAACAGTAACCAATTAGCAAAACTGACATTGGCAATAGAATTGGCAACGCTGTATACCAATACACTGCCATCTGGATGTGAATTCCATTATAGAAGGTGCCAATTACTTGGGACACCCTGTTTCGTCTTCCTTTTAAGTCTTGCCGTTAATTCTCCACCTACCCTCATAAGATGATTCGCATCTCTGCCCATTTCCAGTTGATGTGCAGCCTCGCCCAAGTAATTTCTCCGCTATCTCCTCAAGATCAGTTTTATCACGAGCAACGTAATTAAGTGCGCTCGCAATTTTAATTATCTCGCCTCGTAAATAATTATAAACAATAAACTCGCTACTTTGCATTGAATTGAATTATTACGGTCGCTATAAAATCCTTTAATTAGATTCTATTTGCATTTATGATGCGTGTAATACCTTGATTGACCGACTGCCGTAATAAAAAGGCGGTAGTACAAAATAATAAGACTTTATTTGCATACATTTTTGGACGGACAAACGCAGTCGTACGTAATTACTAATAAATATACATACATATAATAATTATTATTATACTCGGACAATTTAAGAAGAATTAAAAGATTTACATCACAGTTTTACATCAGAAAATAATAGCGATGAAAAAACAAACATTACGATTACCTACAAAATTAAATTCTAACTAATTAGATCCCCGTTTTGTCTAAGCATCTCCAGTCTGAGTTCGTGTTCCCGAGCTTTAAGTCGCAGGGCGGCGATGCTGGAACTTCGTCGGTCGACCTCGGGCGGCGACGACGTCGCGCCGGAAGAGTTCGGCGACAGCGGCGGGGAAGCGGTGAACTCCGGCGTCGGAAGTTTCGGTCTTTGCGCGGCCGATATGTTCGCCAGTAGCGTTTGGAAGGAACTTGCGGAGGGGTAGAGACCGACGGAGGGCGGTAGAAGCGAGGGCGGACCTCGATGGTAGGGCGACGGTGTTGCCGTTAGGTATCCCGGAAGTACTTGGGGTGGATAACGGAAGCTGAGGGAGTCGAATGGTTTACGTAATCCGAAGGGAATGTTGAAGGGATTCGGAAGGGTTGGTGGGATGACCGACGGCGCTGGACCACCTGCTGTTGGTGTTAAGTAGTGTGTGTAGGGATGGGCTTGTGGGCCTACTTTTTCTTGTTTCCTCCACTTTGCTCTGCGATTTTGAAACCATACCTGAGGCAGAAATGAAGAGTTAAACATTGCATTGTTTACCTATACAAATTTTCTAAAAATACATTGGCATTACGAGTATAGCTTCTCATTAACTTAGTTTGTTGTTAGACACTCTCTATAGTTTATAGTCATGCAGTTTTTCTTTTTTTTTAATTTATGTGGTATAGAAAAAAAACGCGGGCGCTCGGGTTCGAACCAACGTCATTGTCCTTGCCTTCTTAATATTCGCGTATAATTAACAAAACTTATTTTGTTATCATAAACTTTCGATTTTAATGTGATAGTTACTTAAATGCGTTTTAATAATACTGAGCTCGCCTTTGGCTCGCTTAGCGTAACGGATTTTACTCCCGTCCAAAACATACAGTGTATACCGAGCGATAAGAGGTGGTCACTTTAAAAAAATTCTTATGTGATACTACTCATGCTCTAGGGTGACGTAGTTTGAATTGGCCTCCATAGTTACTTAAGATGTATGTAGTTAGTTATGACACAAACCATAGGTGGTTATGTTTTTTCAATAGAATTTTGTCTATTATATTTATATTGTCTCCATATCGATCGGGAAATAAAAAACTTAACAATTTGTTCTCAGGTGCGCATCATTTCCAAAGGGAAAAGGTCTTTCACATGTCACAAAAAATCTAAGGAGTACACAAGACATTGAAACACAGTAGGAAACATTTCCAAAATTTCTTTTTTACATTTTTTAAAATTTTAACAAATTTAAAAAAAATGTTAAAATATGAATTGTCAAATTTTCGTTTACTTTTACAAGACTCTCTGACAACTCCTGAAACATTTTAATATTTTCCTACACTTTTCCATCATTTACAAATTTGGGAAGCATTTCCAAAATGTTCTAGACATTTTGAAAATTCCTACACACTTTCGATACACTTTCAAAATTTCCTGCACATCCCAAAGCTTGAGACATGTTTCGCAAATATTTCCCGTACATTTCCATCACTTCTGAATTATTTCTTAATTTTTTTAAACTTTTCCAAAATTTTGTTTTTAATTTTCTATATGTTTCTAAAACGTATAAAAAATTCTTTCAACATTTTCAATATTTCCGAAGCATTTTCTGAAGCATTTTCAAAATTCTTTAAACATTTTAAATTCTTTCTGCATATTTTACAAAATTTCCTACACAAATATTTCCAAAATTGTAGAAAAATTGCTTTTTTTTAGACGGGTTCACTTTGGTTATACGCATACCGGTGATAACGTCACGTTACAGGAAATGTTCGTTTTGTATGGACCTCTACTAGTTTAACATTTCGAAAATGTCTAAAAAATAGTACTGTGTGTACTATGGGAAAGTGGATTTATGCTTGGTGACGAAAGGGCACTGGGCACATTTTAAATTCTGGGTAGTCTCATATGTTAAAATGTTATTGCCGGTATGCGGTGTTCTACTTAAAAAATGGCATCCCATATTACACGCCTTGTATATTCTAGGCTAGTAGCTTCTAGGAATCATTACGCATCAAGCCGTAATCTACACTTTTTTCAATAACTCGACTGTAAGATTAATTCGGAATTATTTAAAAATTACCGCCAATTATGCTACCGGTTACACACGCGAAACCTTAATTAAGCCATTACCTTGAAAAACGGAAATATTTGCAGGTGAAACCTGCGGTCGTCTTCGTTAATTTGAAACGCATGTGATGTGCGTAATGGTCTTCAAAATAAACGGTAACGCGATACGACCAATCACAATAGAAATGCGTACCCGGCAGCCAATTAATCGACATCGATAAAATTACGAGATTCGATTAAGACAAGCCTTTTAAAAAATGCGCCTCGTCACGACCGATCCTGTCGGTTCAACAGTAGTTCGTTCGTGTAATTACTTTTATAGATCTTAAAATCGACTATTATCTTATTAATAATTGGTAATTTGATCGATGTTTGATAAATGAAGGGAAATAAAGTGACGGCCCGGACCACACACTCGTAAATTGTTTAAACAATCACTTAATTTTCATGCTAATCAACTGAGAGAAGAAGAAGAAGAGGAAAGAAACGCGATTGCGGTTATGAAAATAATTAGGAACGAGAAAAGCAACTGACACCTAATTATAGAGTCCGTACCTGCTTCAACGCTAGAGGGACTAATGTAATTTTAAATTACGGACGTAATTTCAACATTTAATGTAATTGAAAACGAAAACAATTGCGTACCTAAAAACCAAATAATTGATGATCATTTTATTTTTTCGTTTTACCTCAATTATCCTTTACGATGCCGGTTATAATTTCTCTCGTCTTTGCGGGGACAATGCTGAGACAAAGTTGCGGGTGGTTGACATCGTCACCAAAAACTATTATTTATATATTTATTTTTTTGGCGCGAGTGACAGAGACGGCCGCGTTTAGATAAAGAGCGGAGAGACGTCGCAGACACCTGTTGCGAGTAAATGACATATCGGTGAAGGAAGAGAGTCATTTCGACTTGATTTTTTTACAGTTTTTTGGGGCACACACAGAGAGTGCAGTCACGGACTTGAACGATTAGGCTTAATTAAATAAATTACATGTCTCTATTTCTGTAGAATTGTGGTTTGTGAAGGTTACCTCTCTTGAGTGGATTGTTGTTGTGTGGTTCTCTCGAAAATTGGAAGTTTCCGTTTTACCTTTTTTCGTTTTTTGATTCAATTATTCCGTAATACCCGTACGCAACTTTTTTCTAATTCGATTAGCGAACGGCTGATTGCGGAAAAAAGGTTAATTAATATGACCTTAATGGTTAGGTACATACAATTCGAATTAGCATGATTATGTAATTAATAACCGTAATTTGCTACTCTTGTTCCTGCTTTTTATTTGCAATTCATTGTGGCGGTGTATGATTATACAAAATGTTGACAAATTGTATTATAAGTGCCTCTCAAGCGGATAATGTAATTTAAAAATTAATTTATTCGTACCTATGTATAGTTACAGCACTTTAGTCGCTCTCAATGAAATTGAATTAAATGGATTTACTACATTTTTTATCGATTTCCGGCACCGCTCAATTTCTCTTTCTCAAATTTCACTTTTTTGGGAACACAATGCACTTTTTATGATTGGTAGTTGGTTGGTTTCGCTATTGTTTCGATAACAATCAGGATATGCCGTTTCCTAAATTAAAATATGGACCTTTTCCGACAAACTGGAGGTTTTATTATCACGGATAGGTTAACAAATTTTATTGTTCGAGGAGCGATTATTTTTGTCATTGTGGGATTTCAAAACGCCCGAAGGCAATGGTGCTTGTAGGCACGTATTCAAGATTTATCAATTCAAAAATCGAAGGATTCCGAAAGATAAAAATGGTCGCAAATGGCTACAAAAAGTGGTTGATCGTCGATCTTTATAGGTTGCCGAAATTTTTGAGAAAAACCCTAACTTTTCACTGACTTTTCTTTCTATTTAGAAAACGACAAAACGTATAGACGTTTTAAACTAAAACATTATTAAAGCACTTTTTTTAGAGGAATCTAGACTCTAGACTTGGAAGTTGCAGTAGATAATTTGTTTATTAAGGATCCTCAGATCCTTTATAGTTTTGTATTGTCGTCCGTCCGTCCGTCCGTCCGTCCGTGTGCGCTCTAACTCTTTTTAAAAGTGGCCGATTGTGTTGAAATTTGGTATACGGGGACGTTGGACATTAAGAACGGACGCTATTGATTTTCAGGAAGCTGGTTCAACAGGAACAAAAGTTATACGACTTCGAGTGAATCGGGAACAGGAAAAACTGCGAACGCAATATAATAAAAATTAACATATTTCATTCCCTAGGTCATGTATCGAGTTCGGACTTTCGCTAGATTATTCCCTATGACTCTTAGATGTGTAAACAATTCAATATAACTCTTCTCTGTGGTCTCGGTCAAAAGTTTTAGAGCAAAATGTACCCAAAATTATTCTTTACACATGAATTTAGAGTTGTAAAAGCTTTCAAACGCATTATCTTGATACTGAAAGAGTTGATAACGTGCACGTTTGATAACCGCATGTGTGTGATTCAAAAATGTTAAATTATTTTTCTGAGGCCACATGGATTTTGATCAAAATATGTCAAAATCGTTAATTATGCACCAAGATCGTTGGGAAAAAGACAACGCGCATTATCTCAATGCCCAAGACATGAATTTTATGCATTTTTGGCGACCACGTGGATTTTGATCAAAACATGTCAAAATCATTATTTATGCACCAAGATCGTTGGGAAAAGACTAGGCGCATTATCTCAATGCCCAAGACATGAATTTGATGCATTTTTGGCGACCACGTGGATTTTGATCAAAACATGTCAAAATCGTTATTTATGCACCAAGAGCGTTGGGGAAAAGACTAAGCGCATTATCTCAATGCCCAAGACATGAATTTGATGAATTTTTGGCGAAAACGTGGATTTTGATCAAAACATGTCAAAATCGTTATTTATGCACCAAGATCGTTGGGAAAAAGATCAAGAGCATTATCTCAATGATCTAAACATGAATTTGATCTATTTTTATGGACCACATGGATTTTGATCAAAACATGTCAAAATCGTTATTTATGCACCAAGATCGTTGGGAAAAAAACCAAGAGCATTATCTCAAAGCCCAAGACATGAATTTGATGCAAATGTATTTTGTAAGATTAAAATAAATTGTCGTTAAAAGTGATTGTAATACTGAGGATCCTTCGATATTTCGTTGTATCGGTTTATTTGTTAAGGCAGCCATATTGGATTTTAGCACCTACTACAAACTATCAAAGATGTGTATTTGTTAAACAAAAGAATGCATGTTCTTTCCAAAGCACTCTTCGCAAAAGCCGTTTTTCCATATTTTGACGGAATCTTAAAGATGTAACATTGTAAGCAGAGAAACGAACGTTATCCAAACATTCTAAAATCCAATATGGCTGCCATAAGAAATACTGTCACTTCCTAGTTTAGAATGCCTTGAATTTTTCGGTAACATATTGAATTCCTCATAAAAAAGTGCTTTAAT